CTCTAGAAATAACTTGGGAACACTGTATAGCAGTCTGTTCAAAGATTCAGTATCACATAGATAGCCTGAAATTAGAGGCCAACTCTTTTCCCATTATAGTACTTTAACTTTAAATTTCTTTCTATGTATAAGAAAGTCTTATTTCATACTGAATTTAATGGCTGTTATCTAAGTTTTTAGGGGCTAAACTTTGATGTACTCTTATAGCATAAACATTATGCTTACTAGTAGAATTTTTGATAAGTAAAAAATTGTTTTGAAGATTGTACAAGTAAGGTAGGCTATAAAAATGATCTTAAACCCTCTGGGAAAAAATATTGTAACATTTTGGCACATAAATCTACATGGAGAATTTTTTATTTATTTACACTTTTACTGGCATAACTTTACTAAAATTTTCAAGATGTGAGACTATAGGAAGGATCATCTTACATTCAGTAAAAAACAGCATCCACAAGAGGAGGACGACAGGGGACTGTTTTATTTTGTTACAAATTTCATGTCAAGGTTACAGGACTTAAACTCAATTCATCACTTATTCTAACTTTCCAAATCACTGGAAAGTTTTAAGAATTGCTCAAGAAGTCTAAAAATCAGTGCATTTAGAGTCTGTGTCTCAACAAATATCCCAAAGGGCTAGTTAAACACCCTTAGTCTTGACTTTAATTTGAAGCTTGCGAATCCAATAATCCTTGATCCACACTTCCTGCTATTAATTGATGAGAAGTGAATGGAATTGTCCTTGGGAAAGTACTTAGTTAAGACTTCACCATCCTACAAATAAAACTGCTGGCCTGGTTCCCATTTACAACTTTGTTATTCTTAGACCAGAAACCAGAAGAAGCACCTACTCATCTAGCAGTGATTCACTAAACTCTAGTATGTGTCAACATGATGCAAGGTACTAGGAATACAATGATAAATAATGCAGATCAATATGGGAAATGCTATGCTAAGGAAGCATAACAGAGCCTTAGAGGGTACACTACCTGTATCTAGAAGAGGAGGAGAAGAAGGGCTGGGAAGACAGTGCTAAAAGTAAGTCAGAGAGGAAGGGCAGGAGGACTTTCCTATGCTAAAAGGCAGGGCACAGCAGTCTCAGCATGTAATAAATGTCCCAATATATTAGTAACAGTCCAGGGCAGTGTCCTGGAAAAGAGTCAAGGAGAGGAGCAGAATAAGCCATAGGCAAAGGGGGCGTTGGTGTGCCAAGGGTGGAGCTAAATTTGTTCTAGTCTTCAAGGTAGAGTAAGATTTCATAGCGGAGGTGAGTCTGAAGCCATTCTTGTGAAGAAAGCCGTGGAACAGATGTGAATGTGTTTGATACTTCGTCATCGTAGCAATTTCATCTATTCCTGGGCATCAGATACCATTTTAAGAAAATAGGTGCTTAATTTAGGGCTCCGGGGCTGAGCTCTCCCCTGAGCAATTCACACTTCCAGATACTTGTTTACTATACCCTCTTAGAGGAATCCGAGGCATATGGAGCATGTTCAGAACGGAGCTTCCAATTGCCCTCCTTTTCCAAGGCTGCTGTTCTGTCACTCTTTCATCTCAGTCATCGGTTCACAGTCTCACCAGTTGTTCAGGCAAAACCTTGAACAATTTATTTGCTCTTTACTGCAGTGTCTGAAGATGCATACAAGGTCACTGTGACCCCTCAGTGAGCACTGATTCCACTCTCAAGCACACCTCACAAATGCATACTTCACTCCATTTCCTAGTCCACGTGGCCATCTTTGCCAGACATTTATATCTGATGTCTTCGTTTTTCCTTGACTCCTCTGTTATCTGTTCTCAGTTTAACAGGCAGAGCTATCCTTTTAACCTCATCGGTGCTTGCGGGAAACTCTTCAGTGTCTTCTTTGTTTCTAAGTCCTGGCCTAAGCACCTACTCTCCCAGCAGCTCTCCAGACCAGCCTCTTGTTTCAGTTAAAGTGGTCTCCTCCTGATTCCTAGCATATTCGAGTTTGTTCCCAGCCAATGATGTTGCCCCACAGTTTCCTCTTCCCTCCATCTCCTCCATGGCTGTCTCATCTAAATGTCCTATTGAAAGCATTGCAAATATGTCTTCCAGTAAAACCACCCAAGTTATTTTAAATCATCACCCTTTCTTATTCCTTCTCAGGAGTTAATAGAACATGCAATGCCCTGCTCATTAATTTACTTCTTTACTGTGGCTCTCCTCTCCTAAGTCCCAATTTCATGACAAACAGGCCTTACCTCTCTGTATACACCCCATCCCAAGTAAACAGTATCAGGCCCCAAGCATGTCCTTAACAATTATTTGTTGAACAAATGAATACCAAAGCCAATAATGTTTTGAAACCATATATAAGGGTTAATAGACCCAAATACACAGAGATACACTATTAATAAAATAAAAAAATTGAAATGGTTGTTTGATTTGATCCTTTGTAAGTCACTGGTGAAGGCAATAAAATTGCTGTGGGTCATTACTGATGTATTTGGGCATTTACTGCTTGCCAAGAATTGTTCTACCTTGCCTTATTGTCTGGCAAATCCCTTCTGTTAGGAAGGTATGGGATGGAATGCCATGGGTGAGAAATAATATAGATGATGCAAAAGTAGAGAACAATAAGTATTTTGGGGATACTTCAGTGAAAAAGAAGCCTAAAGGGTATATTGATACAGTCTTGAAGTTAAAAAAGTCCTTAAAAAAGCATTGTGATGAGAGCCAAATCACAGTAACAGTGTTACTGAGCCAGAAGCCAGAAGGCTCAGTTCTGATCACAGAGTCTTACTGCTATATAAATGAAGATGTCAGGGAGGAGCACCAATGATAACAGAATCCTAGAAGAGATGGTAGTTCTTTGGAATGGAAGAAGCCTCAGAACTATGAGAATAACAAGTTGAAGAAGATCCACATGTTGCCTAGAAAGGTAGAAGGAACTGTGAGGGGAAGGCTATATCTCAGGTACATGAACTCTTGACAAGTATTTGAAAGTGACCCAGAGATCCACATGATAAGAACAAGTAAAGGGTGATATATCTAGACAGTGGAAATGTGAAAAGAGGAAGGAATTGTTACGTCATAGTGATCTTAAAAGTATATCATAGTGGTCTTAAAATTGTAGTTAATGATTAAAAAAATGCCCAAACATTTCCTAGGATTCTGCTTCAGAATATGAACATATGTCCAAAGAACTTCAGTTAAATCAAGGAAATAGGGTCTGAACTTTGAAGCTGGAGGGGGGTGTCCTTACAGATAATAACACTAAGATTTCCCAGGACACAGCCCAGTATGAAGGAATAAACTGAGAAGGGGTCAGAAAAAGAGAGGGTAGGAAAGACAGAGAGAAAAATAAGCGAGAGGAGAGGGAGAAAGGGGAGCAGGAATAAGAGGTGGGTAAAGAGGAGGAAGGGGAAGAGAAGGAGGAGGAGAAAGAGAGAAAAAGAATGAGAGAAATTCATTACACTGATGATACTATAACAATGGCTAAAGGTACCACAGTCAGGAATAGAAATACTTGGTTCTAAGATTCTAAGAAGCTCTAAGTATATCATACTTCTCTGAACTGCATTGGACAACACACCAGGTAATGTCAGAGATGTGAGGATGCCAGGGACCCAAGGTCAGTCTGCAAAAGGGCCACTGCCTTTCCTCCCAGGACAATGCTGAGAGTAAGCACATATTATTGGCCTGTTGCAAACCTGATAAACAAAGACATGCTCATTGCCAAAAGAAAAAAAAAAAAGAAAAAGAATGGTGCAGAAAAGTATAAAGATGATGTACAATACCCAATGGAGATAAGATAATCATTATCCTCCTTGCACTTACGGGATTCTGGGATTCCTGGCATTTATGAGAGGATGCCGGCATTCCTCTTGTCAGTCGGCGTTTCCTCTCTTTCCACCCCTGCCTCTTCTCCATCTTTGTTGTTGGCATCTCTTTAAATTCAGACCTCAGCCATCTCTAGAGTGGCTGTAGCTTTACATTACTGTTAAACCTTGGTTTGATATCACTGTGTGGCTGCGGAGTTGCTCTGGCTGTGGTCAGAAGCTTGGGATAATTCTTGAGAGACTCCCAGGGATCAGAGACCCTATTACTGGGATCAGCCAGGAAAACACTTAGCTTTTCATATCCAACTCTCAGAAGAGGAAGGCCACATTAGAACAGAGGCTAGCCAGCCTTCCTATATAGAGACCCTCTGCTGCCTGTCACTCACTACTGTTCACCACTGAGATATTCTGTCTTTCATTAGCAAGACCCAGTGTCTTGAGCCAGCAATATGGCAGCCCAGAGTAGTAGAATGGATTTCTGTCAAATAAATAATAGCTTGAGTTGGGGAATCCTGAAATGGTTTTAGCCCTCTGAAAACAGCACTTATATTTTGCTTTCATTTCCAAAGAAGAGAAGTAAAGCAGGACCAGGAAGAAGAATGCTTTCACCTCTGTGAACTTGATAAGCATGACCTTTATTTTACCACATAAGTCAGGAATTCTATTTACAGCAACTGTGCTAATTTGTTCTTTCTCTCCTTCCTCCCACCTATCTCCTGCCACTTCCTCAGGAGCATAAAGCTTTCAACATCCTGCTGTCCATTAGCATAAATAAACCCATGCTTTTAAAGTAAAAATAGTCTGAATGCTATACTTATTAAAGACTGCATTACCATAAGAGGATAAAAATATGCTTGAGTAACAGGTAGGCCATATACTTTAGAAGCAGTAACATGCTTTTATTGTGGTTCCTTGAAAGTCGATTATTTTAGCCACGGATTAAAACCAAGGTCTCAGCACAAGTTACATTTCCAGTTCAGAAACTGTTAAGCCAGGAGGTTTCCAGAGACATGTACCTTGGTGTTTTAATTTCTTTTTCTGTTGCCAAGATATTATAGGCAGTTCTAAGGAACAACAGAAAGAGATGAAATGCCATTTCAATCCAATCTTTGCTGTATGCGCCAATGAATATTATAGCCTCTCCCTTTGTTTCTATCTATTGCTAATTTAAATTTGATATAACATTTACACAATAGATAAGAAAACACTGGATTCAGAAACAACAGAAGTGGCAAGAAATGGAAATGAGAGATCTTCAGCGTCTAGAAGAACTGAAGAAATTGATGGCTGAACAGTCAATAAAAGACAGAGAAAGGTAAAAGCGTTTGTAAGCAGATAGAGGAAATGGGGGAGAGTCTTCGGTAATACATTAGGGTAAACAAGATTCTAGGAAGCATCTCTTACACCCAATGCAGTTACTCAATATTTATAACCACAAGTGGATAAAATCATTTCTATAATATAGTTTAAACTCTCATTTTCATACATAAACCTTTAGTTTTCTATTTTGTTCCTTTGATGGCTTCCCTTTAAGGCTCTCACAGAGGATTTTATGACACCTGTTGCTTACTGTGTGCATGAAATTACTAGTTGGCTACTGTGACCTTATATTTTGATCCAGGAGGAGGAAATCATTTTTTTAATAAGGGGTTCCATTTACTGTGACTGAGGCTGGAAATGATAATCCACAATTGTGCAGAGCTGTCTGGTTGTTATAATGTACTTATTAACCTCATATATAAAAATATGGCCCAGAATTTCCTACAGTCATATAATGATAGGGCTGGAAAGGACATTGAGATCAATGAGTCAGTCTTCCTATTTTATTATGAGTTACACTAAAGATTAAAACCATTTTTAAGATTATTATATCAAGGCCAATATGAAAACAGAAAAGAAATAATAATTTGAAAAGGACAATCGAGATATAAAGAATCTGTTAGGAAATCACTTATATAAAAAGATCAAGAGAGCAGTAAAAAATTTCTCTAGGGCTGGAGAAGAGTTCCTATGGAAGAAACAAGTTTGGAACTAGAACCCTGTCTTCATGAATGAGGGGTCAGACTTCACTGTGGAAGATGTAGTTACGGCCCACTGCATGGTGGGAAGTTCTTGGGTGGGCTAAGCTAGAGATACTTCTTAGAAGCTGGTTAAGAAAAACCCTACCTGAGTATGAACAGGCCAAACTTGAGGCTGACCACTGGGAAGCTTGCAAGACTCAATGGAAATCTGGTCATGGCAGTACCTCTGAAATTTTCCAGGAAACTAGCATGGGGGCTCACTGGAGCTCCAAGCGTAAAGACAACACTGGAAGTCCCCAAGTGATGCTTCTCATTGTGTGAAGAAAGAACTGAAATCAGGAAGGAAAGCACTTTCCTTCTGCAGTGTCCTTCCCTGTATCCTTTTCTGACATCACCTAATATATTGGCAACTACAACGGAGAAATACGGGGTTCAGCTCCAGTTTTAGACAGCAGGCAGTAAAAGGTGGACTGGGGACTAAGAGACAATAGAAACTGCCATTGTTATTTGGCTTAACTGATTCTTAGTCATCTTTTCAGAAAAGATGAAGACAGATTTTTCATTTCACAATATAAACAACCGCCAATCTTTCTTTCAACAGTGAAAGCATTTATCTGAGTTAATGACTATTAAACAGCAACAAAAATGCCCCCAACTATCTCTACTTTCTACTTAACTTTAGTGTGAACCTCAAGCTGTTCTGAAAAATAAAGCCTATTAAATATTGCCCCTCTGACTTACATCTAACCTTGGAAGGCATGCCCGTTTTATGAAATGAGTTTCACTTATGGCTAAGAAGTTCCTTTATGACTCTTGTGATAGTTATCTCAAACTCCTGTTACCCAGAGTTGCAACAGTGAATCTGGAGTCACAGATTGATGCTAGTTATTCCTAAGGATTTTCTGGGTTGAATGTCACATTATTTTCTAAGCAGCTCAGTACTTTAAAGTTGAGTATAATCCTTTCCTGAGGGAACTAAGAATATAGTAAATCCTGAGCTCAAGGTCAAGAGGTCAAACAACCAGTGAGAAACCAAATAACTAGTGCAAGCCATGTAAGTCAATACCGTAAGACAGGCCATCCTGCGGTTCAGAAGCAAGGAAGTAGATGAGAGCCCCAAAACAGCTGGGTATGAAAGGGTAATGCAAAGGCAGTGGTCAGAAGGCTGACTGGGCAATCTAAAACTATCCCAAGGAAAGAAAAGAAAGCTACAGGAATGAAAAGGGCTGGGAAAAGCAGAGCAGATGTGGTGTCCTAGCATTAGGGACATGCTTCTAATAGAATCAACTCTCATAGCAGGGATCTTCTCTGATTACAGAATCATTTCAGTCTTTTGCTTCCTGTCCCAGTAATTATCAAGATTAGCTGATTCAGAGCTTCAGTTGAAAAGAAGAAAAAGAAAATCAGATTAATGTGCATTACATAACAAGGAAAAAAATAGCCATATTACAGCATAGAAAAAAGTACTAAGGACTAGGAGCCATAGCCCAGGGTTTTATTCTTAACTTGTCTTTGAATAGTACATGACCTTGGAAAAGTCAGTATTTTCCCTTCTCAAGGCTCTGTTTTGTCTGCTATAAAACTGAAATGGAACGTGAGGACTGAGTGAGTTGATTACTTTTTAAGGGTCTGTGATCTGTAAGTTCAACTCCTTTGACAAAATACTACAGATTTAGGTACTTATGAAGCCAATGTTTACATGCTGAGAAATCAGTGAGGAAGGTCTTTCAAATATCATGTCATATCCAAACAATAATTCTCCCCTCAAACAATAATTCTCCCCTCCAACCCCAAAATGTGATGTTGTATGGACTGGAAATGTTGGCAGGCACAGTGCTTGCATAGCATACATGTAGTCCTGGGTTCAGCCCATAGCACTGCATAAACTAAGTGTGAACCCACTTGCTTATAGTCCCTGCACTTGGGAGGAGGAGGCAGGAAGATCAGAAGTTCAAGTCCATCCTCAGCTACATAGCTAATTCAAGGCCAGCCTGGGATATATGATGCCCTGTCTCAAACTGTGATGTAGATAAAAGCATGATTTTCATTCTGTGATTTAAGCTGTAGTACAACTTGTTAAAAATCGTTTGTTTCTGACAATTACCAAGACTGTGTTCTTTTGTAACCATTCTGGCACTAGGAAATTGGTAGGTTAGTTAAAATGTTTTTCTCTAAAACTATAATACATTAAAAATCATATATGATATTTTAACCAATATCAAAAGCCAGATCTGCCCTCACAGTATACACAGGTGGTCTTGAGGGTTAGAAACTCTGGTCATGTACTTATTTCTGGTTTTAATATGGAAAATTAATGTTCTTGAAAATATTCATAAATAAACTAATGGTTGAAGAATATGAAACTTTCATTTTTGGATTAAATGAAAGTTTCATGTGGTTTGACATAATGAAAAGACATATCAACTCACCTTTTTTGTTAGTCACATTCATACCTCATTTTACTGAAATTGTTTTTGCTAGTTTCTACTGGCCTTCTAATTTCCTAATACTATATTTTCAATGTGTCACTGATGTTGAAAGACTCTAGAACTAGATTGTCAGCATTAGGTGCCTGAGTTTGTATAGCTACATGAGGTTTGAATAAGTTATTTAATATCTGTGCTTTATATCTGTGCTTATATAATGAATATATAAATAATATCTACTTCAAAGGATTGTCAAAGGAATAAATGAAACACTAAACATAAACTCACTGCCTACAACATAGTAAGAATGCATTAAATAGTGACTTCTGTCAACTGACTTTTTACGATGAGATGCTTCTAACCTAACATTTTCTCAGGATGCTTAAAATATTTAATTTTTTAAAAATTGTAATAATAAAGTCATTCACACAAAAAATTAAAACATTTAAGGGGTTAGAGAGATAGCTCAACAGCTAAGACTACTAGCTGCTGCTCTTGCAGAGGACCTGGATTTAGTTCACAGCACCCACGTGGAGGCTAACAACCATCTGTAACTCCAGTTCTAGGGGCTCCAATGCCCTCTTCTGGTCTCTGAGGGTTTGCATGCATGTGGTACACTTACATATGTCTGGGCAAAACACTCATACACATAAAAAGAAATAAAAATTTTTAATAAAAACAAAAGTTTTAGGTTAAAACAGACTGCCATCTACTGTCATGTCATCTCCTATCTGGAATTCATTGCTGTTACCAGCTGTTGAGTGCATATATAGAACATATACAGAATTCATATGTTATATATATATATATCCAAATCAACTATCAGTACACTACTATATACAAAATATGTTCACTGAGCAGTCTGCAAATCTGAGATTTATTTTCTCAGTTCTGGAGTCTAGAAGTCAAAAATGGAGACAGGACTCTAATGAGGACTCCCTTCCTGTCTGCAGAAAACAGCTTTCTCCTAGAGACCCACTTCACCGGGCGGGCAGGGAGAGGCACGTTCTCTGATCTTTTTTTTTTTTTTTAATGAGGGCACTAATCCCATCATGAAAGTCTTCACCCTTTTCCAAGGCCTCATCTCCAAATACTTATCACACTGGGAATAAAGGTGAGCACATGTGAATTTGGGGCAGACACATTCAATGTAACCATGTGGGTGAAAACAGAAAGTATTTATCTTCATATAGGTTGTCTGTTAAGTTAGCTATATTTGTTTGCTGCTAGTGTTATCATTGGGCCAGTTAGAAAAGATGTCCGGGTCCAGCAGCAGAGGGCACTGACCCCCTTCTGAACCATGGAACACAGCTTGGCAAACAGTGGTAACACTGGGTATCACACCCCATTTATCACCTGGGTAAGGAATCATTTTTGTAAAACAAATACTTGAAAATGATGCATAGCAATTCCTTAAAAAAGAACAACACAATTCTCTTAAAAGAAACTATATTATTCATACCTCTTCTAAAAATTAACATAATAACCATCTGGAATTCATTTTTATGAATGATGTGAGCTAAGTGTCTTTCAATTTTTTTTTCTAAATTGATGTCCAACTATCTCAGAATCAACTAGTTAATGATTCATCCTTACCCCTTGATTTGAAATGCCACCTTTATTATGTATCACATTTCTAATTACACTTTTATATCCATATGGACTCTTGATTAGATTAAATGAAACTGATCTGAGCTTGTATTTCACATGGCATTTCAATGATTCTTTCATGCTGTCCAGTAGGACAATGTTCACTCAGTGTTTTTTTTTCAAAAATAGCTACTCGTGTCAAATTTCATTTAAAATCCTACTCACTTTAAAAAATATATTGAATTTTTGTGTTGCTCATACATAAAATCATCTTTATA